GGTCTTGGGATGCCAAACATGTGAATTAGATCTTTAATAAATCCAATAACTTCAGTTTGATCCACAGCCTTATATGATTTAGCTTCGACCCACATACTGAAGTAATCTGTGGCCACTAGGATGAAACAATGATACTTTGAAGATGGTGGATGTATTTTCCCTATCATATCCATAGTCCAACCTCTAAATGGCCAAGGTTTCACAACTGCATGCAAATCAGTTATCGGCACATGTCTTAGCATGTCATGTTTTTTGTATGCCTGGTAACCTCTAGCATACTCTATACAATCTGTAAGGATGGTTGGCCAATAGTAGGAATGCTTTCAAAGCAACCATCTCATCTTTATACCAGGCTAATAAGCACCACAGATGCCTTCATGAACCTCAGCCATGGCTGTCAATGCCTCATTTACCCCGAAACATTCCAATAATAACCCATCTGCTCCCCTTTTGTAAAGATCATTACCATATACTATGTATTGCATAGATTGTAATTTGATTTTTCTGCTGGCTTTCGAAGATGGGCCAGTTAGATACCGTATTATTGGATACCTCCAATCTTGTTCTTGTAAGCCACTATGATTGATTTCTAACACCACATTCCTTTTAGTTAAGGGTGGTATTTCTTTTTGATATATTGTTTGGCTTATGTTCATTTAAGTGTTATCCCTTGTCTTAAAATTCGAAACTTTCTGAGCCACATCATTAGTTTTGTTATTCATGAATCTTGGGACATAAGTCACATTTGCTATCTGGAATTGAGAAAGCAAATGTAATGCAATAACATAGTATGGCAACATGCTTGTACATTGACATTTGAAAATTCATTTCACTTAGTTAACCACTAATTGAGAATCTCCAAATATATCAACTGCATGAGCTTGTAACCCAATAAGTATTTCCAACCCCATTATTAAAGCTTTATATTCAGCTTGATTATTGGAACAAGTAATTTCATCAACCCTGAAACCATGTGCGGTTTCTACCCCCTGTGGTGACTTAATTACAACACTAATTCCAATCAGACCATTAGATTTTGATCTATCAAACCACATCTGTCATGGCTCAATATTGATCATACCAAGATCCATCATCCCCTGGCTTTTCGTTTGACATGGATGATCTGCCAAAAAGTTAGCCAAAACTTGTCCTTTTACTGCCTTTTGGGGGACATATTCTAGGTGAAACTCTGACAAAGATGATATCCATTTGCTAATTCTTTCTCTCAATATTGGTCTAGATAACATATACTTAACCAAGTCTATGGTTGCAATTACCGAGATAACATTAGGCAAAAGATAATATCTTAATTTCATTACTGCAAAGTACAATACAAGGCACAACTTTTCTGCAGTTAAATATTTACATTCACAAGGATTTAAAAACCTACTAAGGTAATAAACTGCTTGCTCCTTGCCTTCTTCATTGTCCTGGGCTAGGAAAGCTCCCAATGAATCCTCTATTGCAGCAATGTATAACTTACCCGCCATTAATTTTCTTAGGGTGTACATATCCATTCAAATTTCTCAAATGGTATGCTCCCCCAAGCAAGACTCTATGAACTTGATATGGTCCTTCCCAATTAAGTGACCATTTGCCAAACTTATG